AAAAAAAAAAAAAAGAAAAAAGAAAAAAAGAAAATGTAGTATGTATACATCATGGAATACTATGCAGCCATAAAAAAGAATGACAATATGTCCTTTGCAGGAACATAGCTGGAGCTGGAGGCCATTATCCTTAAGCAAACTAATGCAAAAACAGAAAACCAAATACCACATGTTCTTACTTATCAGTGGGAACTAAATGATGAGAACGCATTGACACAAAGAGGAGAACAGCAGACACTGGGGCCTACCTGAGGGTAGAGGCTGGGAAGAGGGAGAGGATAAGAAAAATTCATTAATATGTACTGGGCTTAATATCTAGGTGATAAAATAATCTGTACAACAAATTATTGTACAGATTTTTAAAAACACATGACATAAGTTTACCTATATAACAAAAGCTAAACCTAAAATAAAAGTGAAAAACAAAGTAGATCTTAAGCATTTTTAACACACATAAACACACATGCATACACACACACACAAATGGTATGTGAGGTAATGAATGTGTTCATTTACTTTGTTAGGGAAATTATTTCACAGTGTATACTTACATGAAATCATCATATCGTATATATGGAATTTCTGTTTGTCAATTATATCTCAATAAAGCTGAAAAAGGGCTATTACCAAAATTTTCAACAGCACCATCTAGTGCATCACAGGATAAATACTGCCCAATTGGGAAAAAAACACTTGACACAGAACTAAGAAAAAGATTAACTTTAGGTAGTTTTTTCCTTCCACAACAGCACCTGAATTCACAACCAGTGGTGAATGAAGCAGGTAACTAGAAAGAAAATTGAGAAATAGTGCAGGAGTTTGGAATAGGAGTCTCATTTTCCTCTATGGCCTCAGAATGATTCTTCTTCAATTTTGGGGAGTAGGGAAAATTCAGGGACTACACGTGCAGGTTTGTTACATGGGTATATTGTGTGACACTGAGGATTGGGGTATGAATGGTTCCACCAACGAGGTAGTGAGTATAGTGCCCAATAGGCAGTTTTCCAGCCCATAATCCCCTCCCTTTTATCCTACCTCCTATAGTAGTCTCCAATATATACTGTTCCCATCTTTATGTCCATAGGTACCCAATGTTTAGCTCCCATTTACACGTGAGCACATGCAGTATTTGCTTTTCTGATCCTGCATTAATTTGCTTAGGATAATGGCCTCCAGATGCATACATGTTGCAGCCAAGGACATTCTTTTATGCTTTTATTTATGGCTGCCTAGTATCAAATGGCATATACATACCACATTTTCTTTATCAGTCCACCATGGATGAGCATCTAAGTTGATTCCATGTTTTTGCTATTGTGAATTGTGCTATAATGAACACAGGAGTATATGTGTCTTTATAAAAGAACAATTTATATACCTGTGGGTGTTTACCCAGTAATGGGATTGTTTGGCTAAAATGGCAGTTCTATTTTAAGATTTTTCAGAAATCTCCAAACTGCTTTCCATAGTGGCTGAACTAATTCACATTCCCACCAGCAATATATAAGTGTTCCCTTTTCAGAACCTCACCAACATCTAGTATTTTTTGTTACTTTTGAATGACAGCAATTTTCACTGGTCTGAGATGGTATCTCATTGTGGTTTTAATTTGCATTTCTCTGACGATTGGTGATGTTGAGCATTTTTTTACATGTTTGTTGGCTGCATCTATGTCTTGTCTTGAGAAGTGTCTGTTCATGCCCATTGCCCATCTTTTTAGTGAGGTTGTTTTTTGCATGTTGCTCTAAGTTTCTTGTAGATTCTGGATATTAGATCTTTGTTGGATGGATAGTTTGCAAATATTTTCTCCCATTCTGTAGGTTGTCTGTTTACTCTGTTAATAGTTTCTTTTGCTGTGCAGAAGTTCTTTTGTATAATTAGATCCCAATTGTTAATTTTTGTTTTGCTGCTCTTGACATCTTTTTCATGAAATATCTGCTAGGTCTTATGTTGAAAATGGCATTTCTCAGGTTTTCTTTTAGGGTTTTTATAGTTCTAGGTCTAATGTTTAAGCCTTCATTCATCTTTAGTTATTTTTTTTTTTTGTAGTAAAAGGATGGGTCCAGATTCAACCTTCTGCATAAGGCTAGCCAGTTATCTCAGCACCATTTTTTGGATAGGAAGTCCCTTCTCCACGGCTTGTTATTGATGACTTTGTTGAATATCAGATGGTTGTAGGTGTGCAGATTTATTTCTGGAATCCCTATTCTGTGTCATTGGTCTATGTGTCTTTGTACCAGTATTATGCTGTTTGGTTACTCTAGCTTTGTACTGTAGTTTGAAGTTGGATAGTGTGATGGCTCTGGCTTTGTTCTTCTTGTTTAGTTTGCTTTGGGTGTTCAGGCTCTTTTCTGGTGTCAGATGAATTTTAGAAGTGATTTTCTTAATTCTGTGAAAAGCAATGTTGGTAGTTTCACAGAAATAGCATTAAATCTGTAAAGGGGCAGTATAGCCATTTTGACAATATTGATTCATCTCATTCATGAGCATAAAATGTTTTTTCATTTGTTTATGTCATATCTGGTTTCTTTGATCAGTGTTTTGTAATTCTCATTGTAAAGGTCTTCCACCTCCTTGTTTAGCTGTATTCCTAAGAACTTTATTCTTTTTTCAGCTATTGTAAATGAGCTAGTGTTCTTGATGTTTTCTTCCATGTTGCTTGAACTCTCTCTCCCTATTTTTCTGGTCTTGCCAATGAGTCATGAGTTCAGTCTATTTACATAATCCCATTATTTCTCAGAGGTTTTGTTCTTTCTTCTTTTTTTCTTTTTTTTTT